TTTTAATTGTCTATTACCCAGTGATTAAATGCAAACCACTATGGAGTTGTTGAATTGATTTCCTATGTTTCTAAGTTAATAGCTTTCATTATTTAGTTGTTATAAAATAATACTTTTTCATTTTAAAAATTACAAATATATAAAAGGTTAGAAGTAAAATTGACTATTATCTCACAATCCAGAGATAACAACTGCTAACATTATTCTCCTTATATATTATAGTTTCACCATAAATATGCTCAAAACATATATATGTTTTAATAAATTGCTTTTCTGTTAGTCAGTATCATTGGATATTATTTTATAAATCTGCATATTACATATTATATGCTTTAAGTTACTTACCCAGTCTACTATAGATTTTCACTCTTTTGCTCTTGTGAATGATATAACTCTATATTCATTTATTACTATTTCCTTTGGATTCATTCTTAGAAATAAACTCACCTCGTCAAGGCAGTCTGATATTTTTAAATTTTTAGGTCTCTTAATCCACATAGCCAAATTGTTTGCCAGAGCAGTGGTACCAATTTAAGAAATGTCTTACAGGCACATGTTGTTTTGAGTGTTCTGCTTAATTGCTATCGTTCATTAATAGTTTTATGTTAAAGGGAGTCAAAGCATTTTTGCTAGTTTGCATGTCCCTACTTATATCTACAGCGCTATAGAAACAGAGAAGAATAAAATGAATTTTGCAAAGTTGTTGAGTGTGAAAGATGCTAATAAAGGAAGCTAACTATTAAGCACTGTATATATTAGATTTGTAAGTTATGTTCTCATTTAAAAGAGAATTCAGTGGTATAAAATGATAAACTGATAATGGAAATCATGAAATACACTTATTTAAGAAGAAGAATATAGGACTTCCTTTTTAAATTTTCAATAAAAAACATCAATATTGTAAACATTTTTAATTGAAAATTTCAAATGTTAAGGGAAGAGTGCCATTACATTTCTCTAATGTCTTACTATTAAAATAGTTTTGATAAGTGTCTCACACTAGCAAAATATTTTGTCCTGTTGTGGACAGAAACCTTTCTTTGTTGAGATACTTATGCATATTGTTGACCACCTTTCAGTTACTCAGGATGAAATTTAAAGACTTGCCTTTGTGACCCTCCATGTTTAATAGAATTAAATTCTTCATTTATGTGTGGAGGAGAAGGGGGGGGATTAAGCTTAACTATTTGGAAAAAAGTAATAAATGTTGTCCCAAGAATCTGGCAGTGAAGGCAAACTACTGAAAATATTTCAAGATAAAAAAGATTTTAAAAAATAATAATAATGAGTGTTCATCTATTTCAATCTTCAAGGGGGAAAAAAACTAACTAAATTTGTAACTGATTGACTAGAAGACAGAGTTTAATTGTCTTCACTCAGCCACGCTGCTTCTCAATTCATGAGCTACATCTCATTAAGGAATAATGGGGAGTTAATTCTAACTTTTCAAGGCTTTGACTGGAGATGCCGAGAAATTGGCTGGAAATGCCAGTCCTGTTCACCACACGTGAACAATGAGTTTCACAGTAGATATGTGCTACAAATTGTGGAAAACCATAGTTTTACCTCGAGGAGAGGAAACTATTTTTCATCCAGAATAAGCATTACATTTATTTTCTGTTCTTTTGGTGATAATATAAAGAAAACTAGCAGTAACACCTCATGGGCTAAAATCCACCAGGAAAGAAAAAATTAGGCCTGTATGATGCATGAACATGAGATATGTAGTAAGTCTGATCATCATTAATTTAATAAATACCATGACCTTTTGCAGCTTTGAGAAATTTTTCTCCTAGTTACATTCACATACTAATACATTAAAAGTAATTCATTACCGTTTTAAATAAAGATCCATTATGTATTATTTTAGCTCTATTCATTTTATTGCTTAGAAATAACATTGCTATGGTGGTAAATTAGTTGCAAAAGGGATTTTTAAAAGCTATAATATAATAGTGCACTACCAGTAATTTTTAGAATAATCACTTGCAGCACTTCAGGTATTACATAATTTAGTTTGCATGAGTTTAACCTAAAAATTGCTCTTTAGCTCTAGAATCATAAGTAATTATCTATAAAGTCAACCTGGAAAAATGTTACTATGTTTACTTAATTATTATTAAACAAATGTCAAATGGTTATTTTATGATCATTCAAAATATTTTTGGAAAAACATGAAGGAATTAATTATTTGAACTATTAGATTCTAGTATTTGAAAAAATCTAAACAAGATATTTGAAAACAGTTGAGAATGCACTTTGCATAGTTTATGTCAGAGTAGGAAATACTCTTGTTCTAAACAAAGTTTACATTATTGATTAGAATAAGCCTTTTGATTACTACTTGGTTGTGTGATGGATATATATATTTTTTTCCTAAATATATCCTACTATGAAAAACAAGTAAAGTATCACTGTTAAGAAATGGAAATAAAATTTCAAGAATAATGTTTAAATAGCTCTCTTATAGCTACAAGGACTCTTCAAACTTAGAAGTACCAAAACTAAGAGACTTGAGATTCCCATTTCCACCTCCCTTTCTTCCCAAGATACCTTAAGATTTTAAAAAACTTTTTGGTAACCTGATTCATTTTGGTCAATATGAACTGAAACATAAATCTGATTTTTAGAGAAGATCTTCCTAATGCTCTAAATTTTTATTCCCACTAACCAAACTCTCTTCTGTTTTGTCTTATAATTATAGGATTTATGACTTCATATCTTATTAAGTGACTTTTTTGATCTGTCCCTGAATTATAGTGATTTATGAACAGCTGTGCTAAATTTTCATTCACTCATACATTCATTAATTTACTCATTCATTCAAATGCCTACCATGTCCAGGCAAGGTTCTAGGCACTAAGGATTAAGAATTAAAAAAAAAAAAAAAAAATGAAGTCCCTACCCACATGAAACTTACGTTCTAGTTAGTATGCCGAAATCTCACTCTAATGCTTTTCGTCTTAAAGAAGTTAAACTGAAACAAATTCACTTTATGTTCATGAATCAAAAAAGTCCACATTCTCATTCTGAATGAACAATTACAGGCTATTACAAGCAAATACAAAGAGTATATCTGTAAATTTAAAAGTAAGCAAATCATTTCATTCACTAGAGCTTATCAGACTACAGAGCCTAGGGCTATTAGAAGAGACCTAATTAGCATTGATACAATCAACATCTATATTTGAATCAACATCTTAATTTCACTTGCTGTGGAAAAAATCATGTGTAACAAAATGTAAGCATTGGTTGAAAATGTCGGGATGCTTAAAAAAATTCTGGAGAATTGTTATCATTTACAGTGACCTGCAACTATACACAATAATAAGACCTTACAGTACAATAAGTAATTGAAGTATATTGTGACTGTGCTGCCCCAAAATATACCTAAGTTCTCTACTACAAATGGCCTCTCCGTTGTAAAGGGCAAATTTATTTTACTGTTCTAATTTTAAAGTGTCATATTGGCACTTCCGGGTTGTTGGTTCTATTTTAATGCATTTTAAGTCTGGTGGAAAATGTTTCCGTTGATCATCAGGATAATGTAATGAAGGTGTTTAGTTCCTTAGTTTGGGGCTCGAGGGCCCCCAGCCCACTGTGTGCTATGGAATCAGAGAGGAACTGAACTGAGTCTCTGTGAAGATGTCATCGGGCTGTTTGACACCTGTGGCTTAGTGGGCAAATCCGTAATGTGAAGTCAACAGAATGACCGAGGGATGGTTTTCTTGTCTTTAAAAGAGACAAAAAATATTTACTTGTGCTGCTTCAAACTTTTACTGTATTAAATAAGATAATGATACCACTTTGCAAAGATTATACACAGCTCTCAAAACTATAACTGGTATTATTCCAGTTTTCTGCTATGGGCTGCTCACCAATATTGTTATAATTTATGTACATATGTTTAAGGAACGAAGGCCTCAAGATTTGAATTATATATTTGAACGACTCCTTTGTTTTCAAAGTGCTATTTGCTTATTTTGGAGCTGGAAGCAAATGACGAGATTCTCTTAGTTACTGGTCACCTGCATTAAACAACAGACACTGTGAAGTGGCTTCCCCAGGACTCAAGGCATAATGAACCCAGTAGGGACAGAAAGCTTTCTAGGCTTCCGAAGTAATATATAAGACATGACAGAGACTCTTTTTAATGAGAGTCATACATTACAGTTGTTTCTAAACCAAGAACAAACATTTTGGCACTTTCTCTGAGGATGAACCCAAGCCCAAGTCATTCACTGACTTCTGTGGCATGCAATGACAATCGTGGGAAATTAACAAGTAAGTGGAGCCCTCTCCTCTAATAATACCAAATGATTAAGAGGACCTAGAAAAATCAATTGACTAATCAATAGTGTGCAACTGCTTGGAGCATTTTCCCATGCTAATCAGTCATTAAGTTGTTCAAACTAAATGCCACCAGTTTTCCCAATTACTGAACTGATTTACAAGACGTGGTCAAGGATGTCAGAGTCTACCAGAGCCAGATTCCAGAGCATTTGGAGAAAGACAGAAATAATTTTTAAATGATCTTCTCTCACCACAGATTCAAAAGACTCTTGAAAGGGAGGCTAAGATGGGAGATGTCCTCTCAGTTTCCAAACATTGGTGAATTAATGTGGTACTCACAAGTTCTAAACATGTGAATTTGTTTGATAATATGGGTGGGACCTTGTTTGGAGGAGGAAAGGAGGTCAAAATTAAAGAAGACTTCTATACACTGTATATGTGCAGGCCTTTTAAGTTTTTTTAACTTCAGCCATTCCGAGCAGCATGCAGCAAACTTAACCCTGAGTTCAAAACAACAAAAGGTATTCTAACAACACATGTGAAGGGACATGTTATTACCCACCCATATAATGCCAGCAACTCTCGTATCAAAACCACTTATTAACTTTTTTAAGTTAAATGCCACTGTGGGGGAAAAACAACACTAAGAATTAACTTTAAACAAGGGAAAAAACCTTTTTTATTGATATGTTTTACTTTGCTGGCAGACCAGAGCAAAGGTTTTGTGAACATTTAAAAGATGAAAAAGGTGAAGAATCCCAGAAGCGGTTTATCTTGAAGCGAGATAACTCTAGTATTGATAAAGAAGACAATCAGGTTGGTTCTCAAGTTTGAGAGTGGCTGACATTGTTGTTTTTGAAGGTGGGCTGACTGATGTTCTTGTCGTTCCTCTGTTGTCCCCGCCTTCCCTCCCAACCATCCCTTTCCTCTGATACTACTGTCCTCTCTCCAACCTTCTTGCCCATCCTTGCCTTCCCCTTTGGCATTCAATGGGTAGCAAAAAAACATGTCCTGGTTGCTTTAGCAATGGCTCTGTGTTGGGCTGCATGGGTGGTGCTTGGCGCAGTCCCTGCTGCATGTCTTGGGGGGGTTGGGATGCCACAGGCTCCGAGCTGTGGGGAAAAGCTTTGTCAGTCGCATTTCCAGATGTCTGTGTAACTATGGCAGTCGTTCCACTCCCTACAGCTTTGTCCTTCAGTTGTGCACAAATTGAGCTGGATTATCAGTACGGACCGATGATCAACCGGTGTAGCCGTAAAGAACAAACCTTGTTATGGTGAGGACAGGTGGATTTTGCAACTATCCTAAAATAAGTCTTCACAGAAAAGAATTGACTTCATGTTTTAGTCTCCTACCTCCTCTCCTTCCCACGTTTTATGGTCCATGTAAATTGTCTGCTTGTTTTGCATGAACTGTAGCAGAATTTTATCCTTGTGTATTTTGCTTGTGACAAACACTATGTTGTTCTAGAGTAGCCTTATTCGTGGTACCTGGACAAGGGTAAAGAGACTTTACTAAATCTCTTCTCTGGATGGGGGGTGTGGGATCCAGGATGACTAGGAAAAAAACTAAGCAAATGGCAGAAGAAAATAAATTTTAAATTATAATAAGAACAGTAGAAAGTCATATAAATGCCATTACAATTATACTTTGTGTCTCCAACAATCAAAATAGATTTTTTGAAAATGACTTTGCTTTAGAATTCTTAAAGGTAAGACAATCCGCATCTCACTCAAGTTACCATTTTAATCACTCTCAGTGAGTCACTGTAAGCCAGCATGTGCATCTCTGGTGCACTTTTTAAAAAACTTGTTCATCATCTGTATCTCGTTTCCTCCCACCATCACCAAGCTACATCATGGCTCGTGTTGACTGTGAACATGTGCCTGTGTCGTGCACCTCGTGGGTGTCTGTCGAATGGATGGATGAATGCGGTTAGTGCAGAGCATTTTGTGAGGAATGGCAAGGGTAAGACGGGAGGGTGGTTGAGATGCAGGAAGTGGGTCAGATGAGAGGGTAAAGACCAGTCCTCATGCTGGGTTCTTTGAATTGTTAGTTTTTTGGGATTTGTCCTTATCAACAAACAGGTTTTCAAAATTTAGCTTATAAGCTTGAGATTATGCTTTCTATGCCAGATACAGTTCACATGATCAGTCATTGAGTGAATAAAAAACACGAATTATGAGGCAGAGAAACAGTGTCACATCTTCCTTCTATCCATTACTTTCTTTGCTCACTTGTTCTTTCTCCAATCCCCAAGTTTTCAAAGCTGTTTCTTCCCTCAAGTGTCTTGAACCAGCCACTTCCTTTTCTTTCCACCAGCATTCTGCCTCCTTCTGGGGAGTCAAAACCACCCTGGTAAGCAGGAGAGACAGAGTCCATCACTGGTGAGCCACTTTATACCTGAACTGGCTGGACACTTTGAGGCACATTCAGGTGTGTTCATTTTGGAAACACCTGTGCCACTTTCATCCAGTGAGGAAGCAAGCAGGAGCAGCAAACACCAGCCGTCATCGCATGTCACGTGCACACGCAGTACATATACTGTAACACAGCCCCCATAGGGACCGGAGAGAGTGAGGACTTTTCAGGCTCCATTTATTTAAATGAACATTTATTATTCTCACCTGACAGTTGCTTAACTGCAGTTTTCTAACAACCCAACTTAGATAACCCTCCTGATTTCTTTTTTCTGTTCAGCAAAACAGAATGCATCCATTTAGAGATGACAGACGAAGTAAATCAATTGAAGAGAGAGAAGAGGAATATCAGAGAGTGAGGGAGAGAATATTTGCACACGATGTGAGTAGTTGTTTTAATTGCCTCTTTAGTGCGGTCCTTCCATCAGCAGTAAGGCAGCCTCATTCCCCAGACGGTGAGCTGGCAGGCAGTAAGACGGCTGGAGCCAGGGAACAAATCGAACTGCAGCAAACTAGAGATGTTGTTGGAAGAGGACCTGGTTCAGGGAAGCAATGGAAAACTAGGCAAGGGTTTGGGTGTATTCCTAGGATATAATCGGTGGGGACATATAGAGGTATAATTTTAGTCAGTAAAATAGACCTTAAATACAGAGAGAGGTGGTCAGATAGGAAGAAATGCCTTCCTGTCCACATTAGCCAGCAGATTACCTGGGGTTGTATCCTTTTTGATTCCAACATTGTTCAGATGAAAGAATTGCAAAGAAGAGAGAATCTGTTGATCCCACACACATGCACACGTGCAGAGTGTATTCTCTGGGTTCTTAGCAAATACAGACATTTCATTATAGTAAAGTTAGGTAATAATACTCATTCACCCCTCAATTTCAGATCGAATCAAAGAAAATTCGGTTGGGAGTTTTTATACTCTACCCACTATGGCCAAGATAAAATTCAATTAAATTAAATAAAAAATTAAAAGGTGAGAAAATAAATAAAGGCTGGATTTCAATGCAAGGAAGTTAAAAGGGCAAGCAATTGCTGTGGTGCCATCACTCTATGAGATCATCTGGCAGCCTCCTGGAACGCTGTGGGTTCTTCCCTATGCAGAAGTAGAAGCATGAGCTCCGTGGTGAGAGCCTTCTGTGGCTAACACTTCCAGCTTTGCTAAATCAGGCGGCGCATCTGACCTCCTCCTGTGATGTGTTCCTGGAGGCTACACAAATCCAGCCCAGAGATGTAGGCTTCAGTGCTTAGCATGGAGTAAGACTGTTGTCCTTGGAGGTTTCAGGCCAAAGCTAGTTTCTCTGATCCTCCAGCTTTAATATTAAGCTGCAGGGGAGGTGCAACTTCCTCCGACACCACACTTCTTTCACACTTGCACTCCCCCACCCCACCCACCTGCCACCTTTCTTGAACATACTAAAATAGAATTTTGACGACTGAATAATCTGGCCTAGAGTTCTGAAATCAGGAGAGTGTGAGAGAGGGAGATGGAGGTCTTCATAGTTGGAGATCTGAATGCAATTCTAGAAGATTCTGCATATGTGTGGGTTACTTAGACATTTTTTATAATCAGAATTTCTGATGGCGCAAAACACAGCCTGGCACATGTGGGCCTTTAATTGTGTTTGCGGAACACAAGAATGAAGTGGTAAGAGAATCTCTCCCAGTCCCGGTGGGATAAGGATGCCTGCAGTGGGCGTGCGGGCAGTGTGTTCCTGTCGGGGACCTTCATGGTGAGAAATGTTTTCTGAAAGCTAGTTTATATCTGAAAGCTAGTTTATATCTGAAAGCTAGTATATATTATATTGTATTCTTGTTTCTCCCTTTTTCCCTCCCTTGGCCTCATGTATACACACAAACACACGCACACACGCACACACTTACACATACTTTCCCTCACACTCTGGCTCTGACAAGTCAAGTACTTTATAAATGAGTTGTTGTGTTGAAAAACAAATACTAATCACACAGGTAATGCACAGGCCACATTATTTCTTTTTTTAAAAAGTTGTGCCGCATTGTTTAACACTTGAGAGCTAGGTGACAGAAAGTCTGTCACTGATGCCTGCCTGTGATGAAGATGGCACGTGTGCTGCTTATTTCATTTACCAATTCTCATGTCCATACCTGAGAGGTCGAAGGGCCGGCACTGATTTTTCTCACACAGTGTATTTCCCTACCACCCAGTTAAAGCGATTGACAGCTAGGGATCTGGGTCCTAGATTAAAAAGTTGAGGCAAGCATTCCTATTTGAAGCCTCTACACCTACATGCTGTATTAACATTTTTAAAAAAGTAAAAGCAGACAAATGTAAGAAAGCTTAAACATGAAGCTATTGTGATAGCCTTTCTATTCCATGAAATCATTTGGCAATCTTCTTTCAAATGCTGTGCCTTCTTTTCTCTGTAGCAAGGGAGGTGTGAGCTCCTTTGGTAGGCTCTCTAGTGGCCAACACTTCTGGCTTTACTAATTTGAGTGGGGTAGGAGCCTGTTTCTAGCACTACTTTTAACTTGATATCCTAAGGCAGGGTTTTAAATTGGCGTCCTGTAGCCAGACTATACTCATAGAATAACTTCCAGGATTAAATGAAACCCCTGATGTCATTTATAAATTATGTTCATGAACATGTGTACATTTTTCTAAGGAAAAGGTCTCTATTGCTTATTATTGCTTATCATATTCTTTTAAGTTTCCCTAACCTTTAAAATACTAAGAGCTACTTTCTTAGTGAAAAAAGTGTCCAGTATCTTTTTCTCTAGCCCTATAGTTCTCCTAGAGACATGCAGTCATAATACTGGCATTCTCTGTGTATTAGCTATGTATTGCTGTATAACAAATTATCCCCAAATTTGGCAACTTAAAACAAATAAACAGAAAATCCTTATTATCTCACAATTTTCATGTGTCAGGAGTTTGGGCATGGCATAGCTGGGTGGACCAAGCTCAGCGTCTCTCAGGAGGTTGTAGTTAATCTGTTAACTGGGGCTACAATTATCTGAAGGCTTGATCAAGTGGTTATCAGCTCCCATACTCACTCATGTGATTATTGGCAGGCCTCAATTCTTCACTGGCTATAGGCTGGAGATCTCACTTCCTTACTTTGTGGGCTTCTCTATAGATTGTTAGTTGTTGGGACTCTTCTTGACATGACAACTAGCTTCCTTACCATGTGATCTCAGTTCCTTATAGACTTCTCTATAGACTGTTGGGTGTCTTCTTGGCATGGCAACTGTCTTCCCCTGGAGGCAGTTACCCAAAAGAGAAATCAAGAGAAAGCCAAAGATGAAAGCCACCATCTTTTAAAACCTAATTTTGGAAATGGCATATCTTCCCTTCTGCTATATTGGACACACAGTCTGACCTTGTATGATGTGGGAGGTACCACACGAGGTTGTGAATATCAGTAGGCAGGGATCATTGTGGGAAGCCCTGTATTGACAGGATATTACTATTTGCCTATTGACACAAACTCTCACAGACATAACATAGCAAAATGAACTTTCCTGAGTACATATAATAACAAATCTTCCTTACCAATACAGTACACTTTAGGTGATTTTCATCTGTGCACCTCCAGTTCCCCAAATGATCATCCCCAAATTCTTGAGGCACATGATCATTCTTTCCTAAGGTGATAATTACATATATTAAGTCAATTATAAAACAAATACAAAGAATCCAGCATAAGGAAATGTTACAGAAGTCTAATCTTTTTCTTAGCTGGTCTTTAATTTAGTTTCTGCATAATTTAAAAACTGAATTAGCAAAACAGCTTTCCTTGGCAATTATTATTTAAGTAACGGACTTATTTAAACAGGTTCAAATATTGATTAAGTGTGTATATATTTTTTGCTACTTGAAGTAACAAAAAGAGTTCAGAAATACTTCCTGATATTTACACTTCAGCAAAAGTCAAATTTATTTTAAAATTAGAAATATTCTTGAATATTTTCTAAATGTACCTTGGTGTCTAAGGTGTATGTGTGTGTATGTGTGTGTGTGTGTATGCTTTTGTATGCAGGCACACAATCAAATTATGTGGATTGCTTTGGGGATTTTCTAGAAAATAATTTTCAAATATAGTTTGAGAATTTTGGTATCTTGGCATAAGATGAATTTATTTATTATTTAAGAACTAAACAGTTGTAAGTTAAAGCACACAGGAATTTAGTTTTCAAAAAATAAATATTTTTTGTAGTCAGTAATATTTGAAAGTAACTCTTTTCCTTTGACAAGGGTTTAAGATTATTTTTTGCTTAATTCTATGCAACATAGCTACCTTTGAGAAGGTTAAGTTGAAAAAGCAATATATTTGAGAAGGTATGTTTTACCTGGAGGGTTATTTCTGAAGATTGTTTATGTATAAATAGGGATCCAGGGAGAAGTTCATCTGTGGTCCTCCCAGCAAGTGCTGGGATTCCTCTGCAGTGAAAACAGATGATAAGGGCGTGCAGTGTCACTGGAGTTGGGCGTGGGATGTGGGTGAGAACTCTGTAACCCATTAGGCAAAATCATTTTTCTCCTTTTTTAAAAAAAGCAAGCCTTTTATATCTGAGAATGTATGTAAGTGACAGCTTTGAATGCTGCACTTAATTACCATGACAATTTTATCTTTCTCTGCTATTATAATTTGCAAGTTATGAATACTACTTTTTAAAAAAAAATTATTTTTATCAGCTACTAAATCACAGCCCATAACTGTCTCAGTCTTATTTATGAAAATGTGGCGGTGGGGGGCTGACAAGATAATTTTTTAGGACCTTTCAAAAAAATCAGAAAAATATTCTTGAAATACGTTTTTGAGAAAGATATCTTTGACTTGCTGGTGTCTTACTTTTTGGTTCAAAGAGATTGGGCTGCTTAACTTTCCCCCAAATGCTATTAGATTAAGGAATCTGAAAAGATCACTGTGTCTTTGATCAGCTACTTCAAAGTAGAGTCTCAATAGCTCCAATACCCAGACAGAACATTATAAACTTGATTGACCTCTTTCCAACTACAAGAGCTGAGAAGCAGCAAAGTATTGAGCTCATAAGGTATATCTGAGACAACCTCACTGTCTTTCACATACCATTATATGACTCCAGCCAGTAGTAAAACCAAACTAAAGGAAATAAAAAGGGTAGAATACTTAGTTTACTCTAAAGAGATCTTCCTAGGATGTCAATAGCACATCATTTGTATTTGTTTCTCTTTCTAGATATAAATGTCAAGTTAAAAAAAGATATTTTCTAAAAAAATTTGTCCTTTAATTGGCTATTTTTTATTTTTCTTAAATAAGGTTATTGCACACTTGAAATTCAGGATACATGCCAAATGCAGAAGGTTAAAACAAAACTATTATGGAGAAACCTTCACTGAAATGCCCAGACCACTGAAGAAAACACCATGTCTAAATCTAGTCCTCTGACTTAGTGGAAGGAAATGGTTTCTCTAGCAAAGTGGAAAAAGAAAACCATATGACGCTTGGCTCTCTGAGCAGTGGGTACATTAGTAGCATATTTTAATTCAAGAATTAGTTATTAAAAAGGTCATTATTATTTCTTTAGTTTTATCCAAAAATGGACCTGTTAATTCTCTATTTATCCCTTTAACAAGTCACTTATTCATCATCGAGAAAATTCTACACATATAATATGGTGTATGTTATTTATATTTAGAAACTTAGTACTTTGGAAATGATTTTGTGTTCCTTAGTAAACACAGGCACCCTATTACAGGACCACAGCACCGTATTTTGTCCAGACTTCTCTTTTTCTGTTGGTTTAAATTTAATTTCATCCACCTTTCCTCAGCATGTAATAGTAATGGAATTTCATCTTCCCTCCATTGTGTCTTAACCACAAGATAGGAAAGAAATGAATGCTAAATGCTAGGTGAATGGAAGCTAAGAAGAAAATCATTGGTTTTCTGGGTGCAAAACTGAGAAATATTAGATGATGCTTGATATTTTTTTCTAATTAGCTTCATTTCATCCTCACTTGTCTTCTTCCCTCCCCTTTTACTTAAATTAATGATTGATGGCATTTCTTCAATTTTGAGAGTCTTACAGTCAATCTCTTTCTTTCATGACAGTTTATCGTTACCAGGTAATAATTGTAGGATTGTGGCTTTACAGCTCTCCCATCCTTAGGTGGATCATGCCAAGTTTGCGTGTTCTGCCCTAATTTGAACACTTTCCCTTGGCTTTCGTTGGTGGCTGCACCTCCGCAGCTCCAGAGGAAACCACGAGCTCAGAATCCGATGGCCACACACTTCTCCAGCAGTTTCGTTTCTCTTCTTCTGACCTCTATGCAGAACGGGCTAAATCTGTTTGAAAACTGGAGATATCCTGATGGAAATGTACCCAATGCTGCATGAGAATTGTTTATTCTTCTAATGCCAACCTATTTTTTTCCCTTTTTATTTCCATCTTTTGCATATATATTTCTTAATACTTTTTCCCTAGGAAGGGAAAAGTAATTTTAAAATCAGGCAAGGATTTGGGATCCCTCAGCATTTCCAGAACGTCTGATACAATGCCTTTTTTTATTTTTCAGTCAGTTTGCTCCCAGGAAAGCCTTTTTGTGGAAAACAGGTAAAATTAAATTTACTTTTTTATGTCTTTAGAGGAACAAAGTCTGTCATGTGTGTTGTGTATATTCATAAATATCCCATAAATGTGTGCTTGAATATATGTATAAGTATATACATATATCTATGCGTACACATAGATATTCACACATGTGTTATTTAGAACATCTAAAAATTACTTAATTTTGGGAAAAAGTTCTTTTAGTTACTTCTAAGCAGAGTTTTAAACATTTTCCTTATTTAAAGTCTCAATTTCTGATCCTTCTAAAGTTATAATTTTTATTACCTTCACCAGGCGTTAAAAGGAATAAAAATTGAGACCACACAGGAACTTGCAGTTTCATTGGCTTATTGAATAGGCTGCCAAAAGTACTTACGTATTTGGTATAATTAGCCACTTCTTGTGCACCATAATTATATGTAGCTATACAAATAATAATCGGAATAATATTATCTTAAGGCTTTCATTCTAAGTAATTAATCTATTAGTCTTCACAAAAGCCTGACCTGAAAATCTTATCTAAACTGGTCTATATTCAGCAATATACCTGGCATAGGAATTAGTGGGGGGAGGTAGTTGTAAAATGAATGAGTTATAAAATTTAAAGAAAGTCTTGAGGATAAAAGCAGAATTTTTTCAAATCTTACATATACCTTTTTAAAAGCATTCTAAACTGACATATATATTGAAATGCTCCATTGATTTAATTGCAGATATTCAGGGCAAATTAAAGAACTCACATTAACTTGTACAAATCACATTAAAATACATCAAAATGGGAAACTTGGTTTGGAAATATGATATCTATAAATAAAGTGGTGGTTAATTTTATTTCAGGTGTTGGCTTAATGGGTGTCCCTATAACAGTGATTAAAATGGAGACGGATGATAAAAAGCCAGTACTCAGAGAAATTTAATCTGGGCATTAAAGATGATTGATTAAAGAAATATGGTCATTCATATTTGCAGTTGGAAATCTTCAAGTAACTAAACCTTTTATAGAATAACCCCTTTTAGAAGAAGAGACAAACTTGGAAACAAGCCCATATAAAGGATTCAAACAACTTCAAAGTCAATATATATTTAGAAAAATATTTTCTATTTACAGTAAAACTAAGAATCCATGAGCATTAACATCTTGGAGGTGATTTTGAAGCATTCCATAATTCCATTATCTTTACCACAAAGATTAAGTGAGCATTTACAATTCATTTTAGTGTGAAACCTTATTCCTTAGTCTTCTAGCCAATTATTTTTCCTACCTTACTCCCTAATCTTATTCATGTACACTCAAGTGTCCCTTATATTCAAATTGGATTATATTCAACATTGCAATAATTGGTAACATATTTGCATTGCATACATGAACAAATCTTGATCATCCCCAAAAGCAATACTCTTACTGAATGGCTCCCTTACAAAAATAAATGTATTTTGGGGTGCCTACCTCAATATTTCACTATGCCAAGAAATGAAGAATAACTTTTTTATTACCATAAGAAAAAAAAACCACAACTAATATATTTAATTAAATCTCTTTTATATCTGCACCAGTTTCTTTTATTCTCCTCTCCTCTTCCATTCCCTCTATTTTCTCTTCCCTTCCATCCCCCTTACCTATCATCAGTGCCTTAATCCTATGGTAGGGATCCTAGTCCTATCATGCTGCCGTATATTTATTATGACAAAATTCAACATCACACAAATAAAACATAGTGTATGGGAATGGTTTACAAGAAAGGTGTGCTATGGCAGCATACACATCCATTTAACATAGGACATTTAGTATCCTGAGGTTTTATATCATAAAAATCATGTTTTTCATTTCCAGTAGGCTCTTGGAAGACAGTAACATATGCAATGAGACCTATAAGAAAAGACAGCTCTTTCGGTTGGTATGGTTTACTTTCTTAACCTGTGTTTTCAGATTATGTGGCAGAATCAATGTTAAATATAAGTGTATTGGTGTAAAGTATTTCTGTTCATAAAAATATGTTCAATTATCTCTTTGTAAAGCTTGTTATATAGATAACTTTGAAGTCATACTGGGTAGTGTAAGAAATGGGACTAGAAAGCTATCACTTTGTCTACAATTCTTTAGGGTTCTTCCTCTGATTTTCTGTTTTTCAAGGGCTAACTTTGGCAGCACACTGCTTTAACATTCCCAAATCAACTTTGGTGAACTACACTGAGTTAAATTTTCTGACAGGTTGCAATTGTATATATATTCCCAACACTGGAAAATAAATCAATGATCACCTTATTTGGGTAGCTAATTTTCACTTTTTTAATCATAATATTTCAAACAGTATTTTTTCAGTCACAGATTTTAGGTTCTAAAGAAAGATATGAGGTTCCTTCTAATTATAATGAATTACTTAAATTAAGGTCTGTGTGGGATAAGGTGGGGAGGATGATAGTATTTTTTAAGTTCTACCCTAGGCTTGAAGCTCCATAAAAGCAGAGACCACACATTTTCTCCCTACCCTACTTAATGTATATCTGGCATCCGTTATAGAGCAAAGGGTACACCATGCTATAAATACACTAAGTATCCAATGTGTATATTTAATGTGCTCATGTGTTTATAAATACTTGGACTCACTTCTGTTGTAGGAAAGGCAACAACAAAAAAGCACACTTAGGGGAAAGAAAATACTAAGAAAAGTAGATAGATTGTGTGCTTAGAAAGTATATTTTTGCAGTAAATCTGAAATTTAGAGCTTATTATCAATAAAGTTAGAGTAATTTGTTTCCTTACGCTTTGGCAGAAACAAGAACAAGAAGCTTCTTTTTCTGCTTCCTTTGCTTTTCTAGGTTAAACAACACAATCTACCTTGTGTATCATTAGACAATGTATTTTCTTTCACACTTGAAGATTTAAGAAAATCACCTTGCATTTCTCTTTTGTAACCCCGGAGAAGAAATAACATTTACCATCACTCCTGCATTCACACACTATGATCTAGTTTGTTTAGAACAGTACAGGGAAAACATGAGTTCTTGCCCCTGAGAGGCCAGTTAGTTTTACATACCCCCAAGTCTTCCCCCAAGTCAGAGATACCATGTACACAGTTGGGCCATTCCAAATACAGATTCCATCACCCACCAAAATCACCAAGTGCAGAAACTCAGGAAGATAACTTAGCACAAAGCCACCCACACAATTGTAAGAGCAATTCAAAGTGTACATCACCCCTAACCAGGGCAAAAAAAAAAAAAAAATGCATTCAGACTTAAATGAAAATAAATGTTATCAGTTATTTTAATCAACAAAGAAACAAAGCATAGAGCATATGCTTTATGACTACCCTGGGATCAAATTCTAGTTGCCTACAAGAGAACCAGCTCCAGTGGCAAGACATTTCATTATCATCGTCTTCCTGGATTCCAGTAGGAGGGGACCAGGACTGGGCTTAGGAAGGATGGGAAGACACCTGTGGATGTGTTTTTCTATAATGTCTGATCTCACACCCAGATAGACACGAAATTCAATACTGAATCTCACCTTACCACTATTAAGATTATAGAAGAGAGAAGTATAAAATAGAGAGCATAAAATATGTTTTAATGTGTAAATATCTAGAAATCATAAATTAGAATTAGATACATTATTTTGAATCTCATTAATGCTAACTCCCTAAAGCAACAACTTAAATTCCATTTTTTTAATGCACAGATTTCAGTTTAGGATGATGATTTGAGCTGTTCAGTAGAGGAAGAGAAGTTATGGGAATCTTAGTTTGCCTTATTGACCAGGGGATGTGACACAGTCTAAAGGAACTCCTCACAGCGCTAGAAACAGTTCTGCTGGATGAAGGGTGCACACTACAACACACTAGATTGCACTCAGAAATAGTGGTGGCCATCTTCTTTATCAAGAAAGGCTGAGTCACAATGGCATTTAAAGGAAGTCTGGATTCCCTCCATGAGGTGCAGAGGTCACATGGAAAGGGATAATTGAATCAGAATTAGTAATGGTAACAAGGGACCACTCTCATATGGAGAGCTTCCTTCTGATGTATCTTGCATGCTGAGCCTAAGGACTGCCCCCAAATCTTCAACCAGTATCTTTCTATAATAAATATTTCAAATTAGCTGCAAATTAAATTAGCCAGACTTTGTCAAAGATGAGTCAACATTGTCAGAATTATATGGGAAAAGAATAAAGCTGAATTTGGAAAATAAAAGAGAAAACAATAAGGAATGGAACACAAAGCCTTTGAAAAGACTATTTTATCTCCACTTTACCTCTCATGGCTTTCTCAAATTTTGAAGGAGTTTAAAAGCTAAAGTCACCTGGCCATTGGTGAAGGTCTGTTAGTTCATACCTGTAGCCTGGTCTTTATCCGGTGGTCCTTGTCTCTAAAACCAGCCATCCCTGAGAACAGAGAGAATGTTTGTAAGGAAACATTGATGGAGGCTGGCAGGGCACTGAATATTTTCATCCAATGCTCCCCTCGAAAGTGCTTTTGGTTTTGTGAGTTTTCTGTTCCGCTTCCTCCCTTTGCTTTACAAAGTTTCTGTCACTGATTAGCTATTTCATTTTTATTACCTCTTGGATCCATTTACCTTCTTATTGTTTTCCTGAAATAAAAGGAAAAGTTTAGTAAGTAAAGTTGGAGCAAAACTTAAAATTTTCTGTATACCTTCTGTACAATTTGGTTGGTGAGTATTTCAATCAGGTATGTGCACTTCTAGCATCCAACAGCACATTATTGTCTTTAAAAGATTATTTTTTAACAAAACTACCAATCACATCTGTGAGATTTGAATGAAGATTCGAGTATATCACATGGCTAATATGAAATTAAGGGTTATATTTATTATGCATGACTGATGTTTCATTCACTTATTTATAATCCATTAGAATCTTAAAATATTTTACTAATGCATTATTTCCATCTGCAGAAAAAGCTTTGGAAAAATATTAACAAAGTTACTCTTTAAGCAGATTGGAAACCAATGAAAATGCAAATTTCATCAAATTTTTTGTAAAGCACATGCAATTTTGCATACTCCTTAGAGATATTCTAGAGTTTTCAAAATTTACTTCTGGCTATTGGATCTCTTCAAATACATTCACTCTCTTTCTATTCGAAGCTTGAACAATTGTGTTCTTTCACCTAAGGAGCTTTTTAAAATAATTTCCATTTATCCCCTTGGAAAGTTTCATGTCAATGTATAGTGTTTACACTATTATTGTTATTTTCATAAGCATTTCTATGTGAAAAGAATTAAACAGTTCTTTCCTCTGACCTTGAAGGTTAAACTCACTGAGCAAAAATTTTACCATAGGTTTACAGAATAATTTCTGTGATTTTTGTGCTGTCAAAGCCCTGGTGAATTCAGATATATATATATATGTATCTGAATGTGTATATATATATATATATATATATATATATATATATATAGTTGGAAAATGAGTTAATAAATAGCTTCTCTGGACCTGTGTACATTTTTTCATAGCCAATTAATTGTATAATACTAAAGAAAAAGAAAAAACTCTTCTGTGGTGAGAGTTACTTTCAGGATAATTTAAGATCATAATGACTTCTAAATATTAATTCATTGTTGATTCAGGTCAGAAGAACTTATCCCCCATCCTCTCTGTAAGAGAAGTTAACAATTATATTTTATACCATGTTTTTCTAGTTGTTTCTCCTTCACGGGCAGAGGGATCATGTGACATTTCTAGGTTTGGTTTTTCTGTTTGTAACATACCTGTTATGTGTGATGTGTTATCTGTCTATATATCATTAAGGTGTTCACAGCAGTGTTTGGGAGGCAACCGGTTTAATAAAGGGGTTGTCAAGAAGGGTCTTGTATAGATGACTCTTCCGAGAAAAGTCCCACTTTGTGCCCATCCAAGCCATTCATGCAATGTAATCCCCTCCCTGTGCATCTTTCTGGTGGACATGCTCCAGGGGCAACAGAGATGGCTCAGGGAGAACATCTGGAAGTCGACAGAGCAGCTCAGAGAATGAACTCAAGTGGTCTGATCACCAAAGGGCCTGGAGCAGCACAGACTCTGACAGTTCCAACCGCAATCTGAAGCCCGCCATGACCAAGACGGCAAGTTTTGGGGGCATCACGGTGCTGACTAGAGGTGACAGCACATCCAGTACCAGAAGTACCGGGAAGCTGTCCAAAGCAGGTAGTTAGTACTGAGTGGGTTTATGTCCTGTGGTATTTTTTAGCTTGTACCTAAGACACATGGTTACCATTCCCTTTGACTTTGAGTTAACTAATAACAATGATATTAAATACAAGGATAGCAGGGGAGTCAGAAGGTGCAATTTAAATAGGTTACTACCTCTTGTTAGCCATGTGCCTAGGTCATGTTATTAACCTCTCTGATTTTCAATTTCCTTATCTATAAAACCTAGGTTATCATAGAATGTTACTCCAACTCTCCTTAGTAGACTTAAAGTTTACTTAATTAAGTTTATTTAAGTTCACTTCATAAAGGTAATTTAAGTTAAATCATATATATATATGATTATCATGGCATCTGCATTATAGCACCTATTTAACAAAAATTAGCTATTGCTTTTTTTTGATAACACTGTCATTATGACAAGCTATTGCTTTTTAATTTAATTCTATGATTTATTCTTTACAACCAACGTGTAAAGCTTCAGTTCTTGCATTGGCAAGAACTGTTAGTATGATCCTGGACATGTGAGTTAACCTACATGTGCCTCTGTTTCCTCATCTAAGAAATGGAAATAATAACAGTATTTATATTACAGTGTTATTGTGAAGACTAAAAGAGTCAATATACACAAAGCAACTCGAATAATGCCTGGCAAGTTATAAGCCTTCAATAAAGACTAGTTCTTATTTATTTTTATTATTGTCATTTAATGTTTTCATCCCTGCTTTGCAGATAAGGGAAGTGAGTCTTAGAAAGGTTTAGAGTTCCCAAGCTACCAAGTGCATGTATCCTTTTTTCTGTTTTTTTTTGTTGTTGTTGTTGTTCTTTCCAAGTGAACAGTGATATTTTGAGGCAGGTAGCTCAAGTTTGCATGAACAGTCTTTTGAAGGTGAGTGATAAAGAGAGATCCAGGAGAACCATTAACTTGCAGTAGCCTTAAACTGATGGAAGCATGACATCATAGTGCTCATTTGAGTCTGTAGACTACCCTCATGATCTGCCACTTCTAGCTTTTCTGGTCCCAAGAATCCTTCATCATTGTTTTTGAATTATTTTCAAATGTTCATAATTAAAATGCCTCATAAAAAAATCCCAGGAAGGTGAGAAATGACCATTCAGTCGCACTTCAGGGACTGAAATTTGTGGTTTTGGTATGTAATTGTTTTTGCTTTGTTTGGGTTTGCCTCAGAAAGTCAGACTCCCTACTCTCACTAGGGTGGGGAGTTGAGAACTGTGATTCAGTGACATGCCCTGGGTGTCAGGATGTGCTGGTGGAGCACTCATGGTCCTGAGGTAATAGGTGAGGGGAAAGTCAGGGCAGGGATGGGATGATGAGTGGAGAACCCATTACAGTGTAGACATGGGCATCCTTGGACCGTGGATACTTTCCCAATCAACTTTCGCATTCATGCTGCAGCCAAAGTTGGGGGGACAGGGATTGGCAAAATCTGGGTCCACCTGTTGATGGTTTAACATAATTAGGTTGTTGACAAAGTCCTCCTAAGAAGTTATATTATGTTTTCCTACATAGGAAAAAATTAAATAGCATTTAGTCACAGCCACTACTTCATAGATCTATCTATCTATATATAGATATATAGATATATATATCTCTACACACACACACACACACACACACACACACACACAGACATACACACACCCTGCTTCTTGGAAATATTCATGTGGGCTCCTCCTGCCTTCCTATAATTTTTATTCACTAATTGGTGAGTTCTTGATTTCTTACTCTAATTAATTGCTCTCATATCCCACTATTGAAGCAACTGAAGTAAAGAAAATCCACTGTGGTGCACTTGAGCTCTTGTAAACTAAGAAAGGTTAAATAGTTTCCAATCTCCTTAAAATGCAGAAACCAAGTACTTTAAATGGTGCACTTAAAAATTCCAGCACGCCAAAAGAGCTCTTAAGATTTTTAAACTAACAGTCATTCTCCATGCACCAACCCCCAATCACTTCCAAAGCAAAGCTCTCTGGAAACATTTAAAACACCTCAAAAATGCTAAAATGCCATGTTATTTGAAGAATGATTAGAGATTGTAAGTGCTTCAGAAATTTTTTTTCTTTTAATCTAAGTGTCTTCATTTGAAAGCTTGTCAAGGTGCAGACATGGAAAGGGAATAAAAACTTAAAGGGGATCAAGATAGGATGTCAAAACAAACTTACAATTTCCCTAGATGGATTTATGAAGCAAAACTGTCAGTTTTGCTGTCATGAATCTTCAGAATAGCACAAGTTTTCAATTTTTTACCTCATTGTTCACAGTGGAATTGCAAACTTTTTTTTTTTTTTTTGACCTTTTAGAAACCAAGTCTGGAGTTGTGGCATTTAAGTTACTCTCCTCCTCTAATTACATGGGTTCTAGCTTTAAATAGAGAATAATGAGATGTTTTCCATGTTGGAAACATGTTTCCCTACCTTTTGGAACAAAGCACATGACTGAAGTGTGAATGCACACGCACAGTCTCTTGTGGCATGGGCTGCCTGGGAGATGCCCGGCACATGTCTATGGAGGGAGACAATGCCATGACATCTTCCTGTGGAGAGAGCTCGAATAATACTTGTGCTGCACCCTCGGCTGTTTCTTGGTGATAGCTACGTGGTTGAAAAATACAAGTATTGCATCTATTTCTTCCCACATTGTCCTAGCTACACTGTTTTACTATTGCCCCCACCGCCAATCTTCAAAGCATCCAAAGCAGGGGTTCTCAAGTGTAGCTGCATCAGAATCACCCGAAGGACTTGTTAAATCCCAGATTACTGGGCCCACGCTCAGAGCTTCTGAGTCAGTAGGTCTGGGGTGGGGCCTAAGAATTTGCATTTCTACCAAGTTCCCAGTTGATGCTGATGCTGCTTGTCTGGGAACCAAACTTGGAAAACAACTACTCTGGAGAAATAAGGTGTCCTTTTGTTTTACTAATTCAGGTGGTCCAGTATGTTGTTTTCTAGATGCAAGGGTGTTCTTGCCATTGTCTACATACTAGAGTATTTCCGGACCCAATGCAAGACAGACACTTCATATTTCCACCACTTCCTCTTCTTCATGTTTATTTTCATTAGTACACTAATACATCCTGGATATTCTCTTTCCCCTGATAATTTTGGAAGCTTTAGGTTATTCTATTGAACTCTGACCCCCTGACTCTGGAAATATTTTCTCAAATTATTAAGTCAGGGAAAAATATCTTTATGTCTGGAGTCCTTGTAAAAGAAAAATTTCACCAGATGGGTTAAAGACTTTATTCATAACTATCTCAATAGAGATTAAGACTATTGTAATAGGGGAGATAGAACTCAGCAGCACTGAGTCAAAAGGCAGGAGAGTTTTAAGCATTGGAGTGAGCTAGAGGAGAAGTTTTGGAGGAGTAAAAGAGGAGATTGGTCAATTGGTCAATGTGATTAGGCCATCAAGCTTCCTAATTGGTGCTTGCGGAAGTTAGGCTTCTACCTCCCACAGAAACTGGGTGATAGAGGTTCTCTTTTTCTTGGTGATTACATTTCGAAAAGATGGATTTCAGGTCCTTAGGAAAGATATTCCTGGGTTGTAAAACTGGCATCTTAATGGGGCAGAAATGTTCTAGGGAAAGGGAGGTAGGAGCTTCTAGTCAGGAAGTAACCTGTCTAAAGTTTGGTTAAGCTGCAGGGAACAGTAAGGTCATCTTCCTCATCATTGCTCACCATTTAATTTGGTGGATTATATTTTACAAAAGAGTATATTATATTGAGGCCTAAAAGAGTAGTCACTTCCTGAAGGAAACACAGCCTATATGTGGCGGAACTAGAACCAAAACCCAGGATCCTTCCTCCCTGGGGAGTGTTCCCTCTGCTCCAAGGAAATTTGTTCATGCCCTTCCTCTTCTTCCCTGTCACCTTCCTGCTCTTCCATTTTGCTTTGCCTTTTGATCTCTTCTCCTTTCTTTTTCCATATTTCCCTTTTTCTTTTCATCCTCTCTCTCTTTCACGTTCACCTGAGTCTCTCACCCACCCATTCTGATGTCTTCTCCCTCCCCTCCCCCTTAGGGGTCCAGCATCCGTTTCTCAGCAGACCACTGTGAGTGGCATCAGTGTCTGTCTAGTATCGCCTAGAACTTGCCACAGGCTTGGTCAGGGCCCTGGCCCCACCTGGTTCTCACTTTTATGACATGGAGTTAAATACGCGACCTGCAGGCTCAGAGCGTGGTCTGTGGAGGGAAGCTGTCTGGGTTGAGCCCAGACTATGCCACACATGCAGTGAGCTTTGGGACATTTACTTAACATGTCTAAGGACCAATTTTCATCTTCAAAATGAGGTCGCTGTGAGTGCTTGTCACATAGACATACTGTTTACATATTTTCCCTGATTGTCATTAAGCCCCTGATAAAAGGAAACCAGAAATACTTTTAACTCTTGGGCACCCAAAATCCTAAAGTTCTCAAATATCATTTTCAATATTTTTTTAAAAAAATCTTTGAACAGTTCTAATCCTGTGCCTTTTATCACCATTGCTAGTGTTCATTTTTTATCAAGTACCTTAGTACTGCAGGCTGTGTGCAGAATTTTGCTCCCCCTGGTCTAGGGGATTGATGCTTACAAGCTGGTCAAGGCTGGTTATCAGGCAGCCAGCAGGGCCAGTTCCTGAGCCCTGGCTGCATGCTGGTCCCTGAGCCGTCCCTCCCAGGAGGTTTGACTTCTTCTTTATCTTTGCAGGTGCTCAGAGTTTAAGCCAAATTTAGTTTTTCTTCCTTCCTTTAATGTGTGAAATCAAATCATTTACATTATTTCCTTGTTGTTCCTATCAATGCTGCTACATTTCCCCCAGCTGATGGAGGGAAAGGACATTGTAAATCAGCTATTAATGGCCATCCTTCTAAAGCCAAAATTAAGTCACTCTTTGGATTTGCTTGTGAAACTTCAGTGTGTGTATCAATCAACACACGCCCATGCCAGCACTAGTTTATACCTCAAATCAGAGCTGGGAACATGCTCTGCTGACTCCAGTGCTTTCTCACTGTCTAGCCCCTGAGCCTGGAGATGAGCAGAATCATTTTCAGATGACCTTAAACATCTGGGTGCAGGAGGTCTTGTTGTTGTATTATTGCTATTGTTGTTTTTGTTGTTGTTGACTCTGCTCTAGTGTCAAAGGTGTAGTTTAGCATCAAATCATACATGGCATGTGCAACAACAATCCACATTGAGACTATGACCTCAAGAGTGATAATTTTAGTGATACTGTCTCAAAACGATTATTAGCATTTTCAGTATTCCTGTTACATCTTTTATTTTTCTCCCCATACATTATTCAGAACCCCATCAGCATTCTAAACCATTTAGATAGAATATCCTCAATTGACTTAAACCATTACTATTATTAATATTAATAATCAAGTCATGGGAAAAGCAGAAAAGATACCCAGCTGAGAACACTTGTGACAGGCCATGGTATATGCATATCAACACATTCAGGAAGCATCGTAGGGCCTTGGTTAAAGCTTGATGAGTCTGCATAGGTCAAATTCCAGCTCTTGCATTTTCTAGGTAAATGAGGGACTTGAGTTCCCTAACTTCTTTATACTTCAGTTTCCCCATCTCTATAGGCAGTAATAGTGTTTATTATTGAAGTATTTAAGTTTATCATTGAAGTATTCAAGTGCTTACACATACTGAATGCTCAATAAATATTACTATTTATCCAAAATTATCACACTCTGCAATTGCTCCTCTTCTCTGTAATTGCATGTTGCATTCATTTCACTCATTTTAAAAGATCTCCAGTTTAATTTAAAGGCACATTTTAGAATCTTGGAAAGAATGTTAACTATTGCTTATATATTTTGACCTTTTTCATTACATGGAGGAATACATTTTTAATGACATAAATCAATAATGTAGGCTAATGGTTTAATAAATGTCTCATACTACATTCTTGCAACCTATGATATTATTATCTACAACATCTATTTGTCTGAATTTGCAGTAATAAAATTTTTGCTTGGTGTATTTTCTCTCAGCTGCTCTGCTTAATACTTAGCACCCAGAACAACCATGGTTGAGGGTTCTGGAGATGCTTGGCCTTTGCTGAAGTGAAAGGCAGTGAGTGCCCAATGGGCATGGAACATGGCAGGTGTTTCTCTTTTTGTACATATTGGAGAAAGAGGAAAGATGATTAGATTTCGCCTTAGGGGCTTCAGCACACGATTCCAGTTGCCTGCATGTTTGAGAAACCCATAGTCTACAAACGTCCCTGTGATTTTAACACTCTGTGTCACCTGAAGGATGCTCCATCATTATGAAGGCCAAGCCCTCCTTGGTCCACCCCTTGGGCATATTAGTAAGAGTTCTTCAAATATGTAAAATGCAGTATGGTGTCTTAAGCACTTAAATATATTATGTTAATAATATTAGTAATTCCCATCATCTATTTGTCCCATAGTTTATGCCAGACCTAATATTTAATTCCTTGAATCCCTTTAAAAAATTTTTTTAAATATATAAAGTCTATGTTGTTTCTACTTTACGTAAAAGGAAACTAATACTGAATGGTTGAAAGTTGCCTCTGGGCAGAGGTTAGAAAGAATGAGAGTCCTAATTCATCCGTGACTCCCTGACTTTCAATCCTGTACGCTCTTAAACCATGTAACTCCTTAAAAGAGACCTTATTTTATTTTAAACCTTGTTCACTCATATATGCTATGCTCCAAATAGAAATCATCCAGATAGTCTACTCATATATGGGGAGTAAAAGATTGTTCCTGACTATGCCCCTTCAAAATTCAGCTGTATGGGCATTGAAGAACTAGTGCTTTAGAATCATGCACGTGAGCAGGACATCACAATATTCCTCCTTCGGCTGCAGTTTCTTTAACCTCCATCCCAGTTATTTTATCCTTATCATTCAGGTTTAGACATGTATTTCCGTGGTATTAATTATTCAGGAATTTGGAACGGAGTTTGCAGGTTCTGAATTCAGAGTTTTGGGGTACCATTTAGCAATTTATCACCCTAGTAGTACATGAAAAAGCTGAAAGAGAGAATACAAGTGAGCTCATTCTTTTTTAAAAAAATTCATTTTTAATTACTATGGTTACATAGTAATAAAAACTGCATATATTTATAGGGTACATGTGATGTTTGATACAGGTATACAATGTGTATTAATCAAACCAAAGTAATTGGGGTATCCATAACCTCAATCACTTATCATTTCTTTAAGTTAGGAACATTCCAATTCCTCTCTTTTAGTTATTTTAAAGTATACCATAACATTGTTGACTACAGTCACTTTGTTGTACTATCAAATGTTCATTCTATCTAACTATCTAGCTGCATTTTTGTACCCATTCCCCACTTCACCCCCACTTCCTCATCCCCACCCCACTACTCTTCCCAGCCCTCCATAACCATCATTCTACTTTCTGTCTCCATGAGATCAATTGTTTTAATAGTTAGCTTCCACATATAAGTGAAAACATGAGAGATTTGTCTTCTGCACTTGGCTTATTTCACTGAACATAATGTTCTCCTGTTCCATCCATGTTATTGCATGACAGGATGTCATTCCTTTTATGGCTATGTAATATTACATCGTGTATATGTACCACAACTGCTTTATCCATTCATTCTTTGATGGACACTTAGACTGATTCAAAATCTTGGCTATTGTGAATAGTGCTGCAATAAACATGGGAGTGCAGATATCTTTTTGATATACTGATTTCCTTTCTTTTGGACATATACCTGGTAATGGGATTGCCGGGTCGTGTGGTAGTTCTATTTTTAGTTTTTTGAGGGACCTCCATACTGTTTTCCATAGTGGTTGCACTAATTTACATTCCTACCAACAATATATGAGGGTTCCCTTTTCTCCACATCTTCACTGGCATTTGTTATTGCTTGTCTTTTGATAAAAACCATTTTAACTGGGGTGAGATAATATTGTAGTTTTGATTTGCGTTTCTCTGGCAACTAGTGATGTTGAGCACTTTTTCATATACCGTTGATCATTTTGTATGTCTTCTTTTGAAAAATGCCTATTCAGATCCTTTGCCCATTTTCGATTGGATTATTTGGGTTTTTTTTTCCTATTGAGTTGTTGAAACAAGACAGCTCATTCGTAATTTGTCAATTCCTAGAAAATTGATACATCTAAAAAATAGGTAGCAAAGATTTCAATGAAATACGAGCCTAAAATATGGAAGGGGCATTAGTTAATCTCATCCTGAAACACACACCTCAAATTCTTTAATGATGGGTTATAGAAAATTGAGCATTCAGACTCAGATCTGTGCTTTCTCTCTGCCAGGTTCTGAGTCTTCTAGCAGCACAGGCTCCTCAGGATCACTGTCCCGCACCCACCCACCTCTCCAGAGCACACCCCTGGTCTCGGGCATGGCAGCTGGTTCTCCAAGCTGTGTGCCCTATCCTGAGAATGGAATGGGGGGCCAGGTCACTCCCGGCAGCACCAGCTACATCCTCCTTCCACTTGAAGCTGCAACAGGCATCCCGCCCGGAAGCATCCTTCTTAATCCACATACAGGTTAGTTACTACCTGTTTTATCAGGGACACGAGGTTATCAGAGGTTTGTTCTTGTGTTTGATCTTATGAATTTGCTAGCAAGTTTTCTGAAAATTTCTGAACAGGAGTGCTGTGTACATGAACTGATGTGTAGAATCTTTGTTTAGAAAGAACGTATCTATAGCTTTATCTGTATCTCCATATTTCTATCTCCTTATCAATTTTGATATTGATACAGATATAAATTCTTCCCAGAAGCATCCACTTTTTTCTCTGCCTTCTCTTCCCCTACCAAAATGTCTCTCATGAGACAATTTAGGAGCTAAAATCAGAGTAAATAGTGTGATGAGCTGGGATATACTAATTAAAATTTTGTGTTTTTCAGACTAGATCCCAGATTAGCCTGTATTATGTCAAAAGTGGTTTTGCATCTGGGGATATTTCAGGAAACTGAGGTACCATTTGAGACACATAATGGATTCTTAACCATAGAAGTTGTTTTCTCTCCTTAGAACCTCACCCAGCTCCTATGAGGGAATAAGAAATAGCAGTGGTGATGAGGATACAGAGAGCAAATTCTTGGTATTTTAGAAATGCTAGGCCTAGACTGGTTTTGGTAGGGTTTAGAAAATTGTTCACTATATGATTATGGTTTCTTTTATGATGAATGGCCATTGGTTCTTTAATTTTCAATTTCTCTAGTGGATCAGTTAACTTCCACATTGATTCCAAAGCACCTAGGGCATCGGGATTCTAACATCGTCAAATAGACTGAGGCATATCTGCTTCACGGGGGCAACTTCTCAACCAGCGGCAATTTTTCCCATACCCCCAAGGCCACTTGGCAATATCTGGAGACATTTTAATTAGCATGACCTGGGGAGGAGGGGACTGCTACTAGCATCTGATAGGTAGAGATCAGAAATGCCACTAAACATCCTGCACTATAGAGGACAGATCCCACGAACAGAGGATTATCTGTATGCCAGTAGTGCCATAGCTGAGAATCCTTAGTTTAGAAAGTTTGACACTGACTAGCTGCTTCTTAAGAGGACTTTATTAGGGACTGGAAAAAAATGGAATTGTCTTGAAATAGACCTGAAGTTTGGTTTAGATCATTTCAGAGCATTTCTTCAATTAGCTAAGCTTGAAAATGCGAAACTGGATGAGCATCTCATGAAAATGATCTGTCTCAATCTTCTCACATAGATAGTGCTACTAGTAATTAGGAAATTGAGAGAAACATGAGAACTATAGTAAAATAGTTACTTGAATAATTGCCACATTTTCATAAAACATATGGCTCATTCTCAAGGCATGGTGTTTGATTGAGGCATATTGAAAATACCATAAGCTTGAGGGAAAAGAAGGCATAATCGTTTTATTGAAAACCATTTGAAAACTTCAGATTAGACACTTCTAAGGAGGATTTTTAGATTGCTTTTATTTTATTTGGATTATCGAAAGCACTATAAAGGAAATTAAAAGAAGACCAGGTTTGTATTCATTATTCTGGGTACTGATCAAAGTGGGATCTCACTCTGTTCGTTTAAATTCTTCCACTTTTAATTGAGATGAAGGGCTTGCAGAAAAGAGCACACACATTTGTTTTGAGTGGTTTGTTTTAAGCAAAATTACAGAGTGTTTCAAAAAAGCTCAACAGAGTATTTTTCGGGGTATAATGCAGGAATATTATTTGTAATGATCTCATGGTTGTGCATGTGTATGTGTATATTATCATCTATAATCTTGTTTATAGAAAAAAGAAATAGAGGCTGTTTGGTGCCAAGTCCCAATTCTTATTCATTGGACTGAGTCATTTAGAGCTGTTATCAAAATATCTCTTTTGTAAAAGGATCCCAACTAAGGAAAAGGATATAATAACACTGTTGAACAGCTTCTTTATACACATTTGTCTGATCTGGCAAATGTTAGACTGAAAATATCACTAGACCAGAAGGAAAATATATTATATAATACAGTATATACTATAGTTGAATGGTGAGATGCAAGGTGAATTATTGTATTTCTTCTTTTCTAGATTATGTTTACTTTTGTAAATTGAAAATATACACATGTATATGTATACATGTATTATGTATAATATATATGTATATCTGTGGTGTATGGTATGTGTGTATATGCATATGTATATATCTAGCAAATCTCTTATATAACCTATACTGTTGAAACTAAAAATTTGCCTCCTTTGAGCTAGAACTCATCTTCTTTATCTGCCATCGCTTGTGAACCTAGAAACCACACCCTTTCCTAAATACCTTTCTGCCAAGTACACAACAGAAATACTTTGGTGTTAGGAATCAAGAGCACATGACTACTTTGCTTCCTGTGTTAATTGCCCTTGGGTTCATTTCCTTGTTACTAATACACTTATAAGCTCCTTGCGGAGAGGAGCCATACTTAATTATTTGATTTTATTTTTTGCTTCCCCAGAATGGATAAGAAAGTCTTAGGCACTGTATAGGTGTTCAATAATTACTTTATTATTGAAATAATGTCTATTACTCATTATATATGTTGATCTGGATAATGGAGCAGTTCTTCACTTAATGTCATATATTTGGAATGTGGTTTATGTCTAAATTATGATGGATAAAATATCTGTCTTAAGCAAGAATAAGACAATCAATGACTTAAAAATACTAAGGTGTCTGCCAATCATGTGTTCACTAAATAAAACAAAAATGAAATTTCCTTTGTCAGCACAATTGACTTGGCTATTACTAGTAATAAATGTCTGGCACATTGAAACCAATCTTCTCACAAATACCCTTTCAGCTCCCTTAAGACAACCATAACTTTTAATTTTGTCTGGCCTCAGACTCAGCTTTTAGCTGGTGCATTTCTAACTCAAGACCTCTTGCCTGTTCTTTCTTTGCTCTTTAGGCATCTTGATGAGTGAGTTTCCACAGAGGCTGTTTTTCAAAGTTGTCTCTTTCTGACATCTTCATCCTTCCAAGACAAGCCTGGACTCTTGGATTAGATTTTCCTCCAGCTGTCTTGAACCCAGAATCTTTTGGGAAATTTTTAGCAGAAAGCTCTGCTTTGTTGGGCTGTTTTTTTGTTGTTTTTTTTTTTTTTGTTTTGTTTTGTTTTTAAGCTCAGTGTAATCTAGAAATGCCAATAGGCGTTGGTATCCCTCAAGTCTTATTAATGCCTATGTATGTTGTTTGCCATTTTGCTTTGCCTTTATCTGGTGCAAATTCAATATCTGTGCTATGTTAGGGCATGCCATCTGCAGGGACCTCACTCTAGTATCCTCTTAAGGCTGTTCTCCATCATATGCTGCTACTGGGCTTCCATTTTTATTTTTATCAGGACTTCTAGCACATGTTTATCCAAACTGCTTCCACGTTTTTCTTAAATGTGCCATGAAATTTCTATATGCTACTTAACAAGTGTATTTTTGCAAGATCTGACTTAATCCTTGCCTATGCATAATCAGTAGCTCCCTTAGAATTTGAATATCACCTTCTAAGGAGCTGGAAAGGAAAATCTTTTTCTCACGCTTTCTTTCTCTTTTTAAATAATTATCCTTCTGTCAATGATATAGCAGAAATGCTTTGGTGTTAGAAACCAAGAGCATATGCCTACTTTGCTGCTTGTGTGAATTGCCCATGGGTTCATTTCCCTATTACCAGCACATTTATAAGCCCCTTGTGGGGAGGGGCCATACTTAATTATTTTTTATTTATTTGTTTATTTATTTTTTTGCTTCCCAGGAATAGACAAAAAAGTCTTAGGCACTGTGCAGATGCACAACAATTACACCGTTATTAAAATAACATCTACTACCCATTATGCATTGTTAATATGGAGAGTGGAAGCAGTTTTTCACCTATTGTCATATATTTGAGAGGAACGAACATTCTGCATTTGTTCTTCTCATCTGCCCCTGCTCTGCACTTAAGGTGCTCTGGCTTATTTCTGTCATTGCACTCTCTTTGCCTGTGCCAGCACACGTGTCAGGGCCTGTTGGGCATGCTTGTGCAGTTTCTGACATGAAAGCCTCCTCCAGGATGAACGGGTCCAGGGCCAGCCAGTCCTCTCTTTCCCTTTGGTCTTCAGCAGCTGTCATTCAAACTAACTGCTTATATTCAGCAGTAATTGCATCTGGATTGGTAGAAATCATAGAATATAGAGAGGTTGTCATTGCCTGACTTGAAAACCAATCGTCAACTATCCTGGGTCTCTTAGGATATTGCTTTTCTTCTCTTCCCCGACATCCATCTTCTTTTATGTTTTTCGGTTCTTTCCACCTCTCCTTGGTGAGCACAAAATCAATCGTTTATACTCTCTTCTCTTTCTGGAAGAACCTGCCATCTCTTTCTACTTAAGTGAATCATTAGTACTTTTCTATGCAATTATTTAGAAACATTCTTTTCTTCTAGTCCACAGTACTATTAATCACATTTTAAACAAAGGATCTAGAGTTTATCTGAAAGGACATATGAATATTTTGGAGTTATGTTTTTAAACCCTAATTATTGTTGGTTTTTTACAATTCCTTAGTTCTCACTGGGGTAAATCAAAAGTCATATAGTAATATAGTAACAATCCTTTCTTTTTGCTTTCCATCCTGTGTGTGTGTTTGTGTGTCTGTATAAACACGGTGAGACTGATTTTGATATAATTTCAGATTAAATTGTAGACTCGTCTCTGGAGATTTTTTTAAAGTTAAGTACCTAAAATTTTCTTCTTATCTTTCTAAAATGAAAAACAAACAAAAAACAGAAAAATAAAGATTAGAACACTAAATGGGCTGATAAATTTTTGAAAATTGAAGTTGTTTTTTTTTTAATTCTTTCCCAAATTGCTGGCTAAGGAGGCAAAATGGGTTACAAGTTTTGAATCTAGAAGAAAGTTATTTTTTTAAAAAGAAAATAAACTTAAAAAAATAAAATGTAGCCAAAATTGAATGATAGTGATAGGAAAACAAGTACCTGGAATATGAATAATATAAAAAAAAGAGAGAGAAAATACTTGATTTAGTCATTGTTCTTAAAATATAATTCTGGTGCATTTGTTTTCTCATCACAGTACATTATTGTTGGTTATGGAAATTCTTATCAGAACTTTCTTAGTTCTTGAAGGTATGTTTATGAATATGCAGCATTTAAAGTTTCTTGTTACAAACAAACAAATACATTTGTGCTCAAAATCTGTGGTAATAACGGGAAATACTAAGCTGCCCTTACAGTTCCCTGGTGAGCCAAAATCAAGGCTGATGCTGTCCAGCTCCACTGCAACCTCAGCATTTCCTCCCCGCCAGACATGTTCCCCTTTACTTTCTTAATTTATTTATTGAGGTAGTAACATGAAATACATAAGTGAAGCATGTGACCTACACACATCTGAATTGTAAGCCTTGGTAAATTTTTACATATGTGAACACCTGTGGAAACATCACCCTGAATGAGACATAGAACATGTCTAGTCTTCTCGACGGTTCCCTCATACCCTCTCAGAGGTCCTGCTAATCGGACTTCTATTACCATGGATTAGTTTTGCCTGATCTTGTATGTAATCGATGGGATTATACAGTAGATGCCTTTTTGTGATTAATTTCTTTCACTTAGCATATTCTCTTAGTTAATTAGCTTAGTTTCCATTTTATGACAGTCTGTTCTTATTGTATGACTATCATAAATACTTTTTTTAGTAGAATATTTTATTTCCTTTGGGTCAGTTTTTAGATTTTACCTCTGTCTTACTCCCTTTTGTTGCTAATTTTTCTCATATGACTGATGATACACAGTTGAGACATATACATATATATGTATGCATGTGTGTGTATATCTATATTTTTTATTATTATTAAAGAACAAGGCTGATTTCCTCTGCCATCACATGCTTCTCACCCTGGATAAGAATGCTCATGAAAGCCCTGTGTATCAGAGCAATGTACGGACTGAGAGGCTTTAGAGTATGTGCTTGGAAAGAACTCAGTATGCTGCCTCTGCCATCTCCCTCATGCCAAGATGAGGAAGACTTTCCTCGGAAATACCGACCCCATTCTGGGAGCTCTGTTTCTTCTAGGCATTTGCTCAGATTTTTATAGAATATTTCTGTGACTTCAGTTTGTAGAAGAAGATTGCTACTGCTCCTTTTCCAGTAGGATTGCAGGGGTTACGGAAAAGGGAAGAAGGGACTCACCAATAGCTCCCCAGACAGTTTGCCAATCCATTTCACCTTGAATCATGTCTCCACCTCATCTAACTTTTCAAGCATTGATTAATAATTTTCAGTTATGGATGGATTTATTTTTCATGTTTACCTAGTTATACCATGTACCCATTATGTAAACTTGGATAATTCACCTACGTTATTTCATGTAATGGAAAGTGAATAGACTTTGAAGTCTTACTGACCAAGGTCATTTTCTGGTTCTCTCACTTACTGTTTTCTGTACCTGTGAATGAGCTCCTTGGTCGCTCTGAGCCCTAATTTTCTTTTCTCTAAAGTGGAAATAAGATTGTGTGTCTATGGGTTGTTGGAAGAGCTACAGTCATATCTGTAAGGTGCCTCTTACTGTGCCTGCCACATTGGGAATCAGTTTGTTTTCTCCTTTACCCCTGACCCCTTCCCTCTCATCTACTGCCCTTTGCTCACCTCCTTTCAGCTCCTTATTCCTGTAACCTCTCTGGTGGGCCTTCAGTTCCTTTTCTGAAAAACAGAGTGATGACACCTTCCTTCACAGAATCATGATGAGTTCCAAATGATACCATCGTGCAAACTGTAAAATACTCCTCAAATATAAAGCAACACTATTATTAATAGCAGTAATAATGCTAATGAACCATACCATTATTTCATAAAGAAAAATAATATATATTAGCTTCTATATCACAAGATGAGGAGTGTATTATGCATCACCTTAAAAATCTAACACCCCAGGTATCCTTGGTTGTGTCTCTTCAGAGAAATGAGTGAATGCATGTGTTATGTTCTGTTGTATATATATATATATATATATATATATATATTTGTGGAACTGGTGGTGATTCTGAATTGGTGGCAAGGCTTAGCAGAAGCAAAATAAATGCATTGGTAAATAACTTGCGACTGAATGTAGCGGAGTTGTGTAAATGGAAAGCAGCTCTTATCTCTCAGTGTATGTTATCTTGCTGATGGCTGTGAGGTGCAGGGCAGCAAAACATATGGCTTCGAGAAGATTGCTTCTCCACAGGCCTCTCCACTGGGTGCCACTGTCCACAGATACATTTAGCTTTGGCGAAGCTCCCTGAAGGTGGTGGATTTATTTGCTGCTTCTTCTATCGCTATGGGCTTATGCTGTCGTCTAGCTTAAGCAGATGGGTCGCAAACTGGAAAGTCTTCACATTGGTGAGGGTTCTGGTGTCTTGGATTCCCACTTTCCTATGCCTTTACTTGAGGTTACTTTTTGAGTATCTATCAGAGTGGTTTTTTTCTGCCAAAGGGGAGTTTGAGAAGCTCACCTGGACCAAACTATGATTCCACTGCAGGCCAGCCCTTTGTGAATCCCGACGGAACTCCTGCAATATACAACCCACCCAGCAGTCAGCAGCCCCTGCGGAGCGCGATGGTGGGGCAGTCCCAGCAGCCGCCGCAGCAGCAGCCCTCCCCTCAGCCTCAGCAGCAAGTCCAGCCTCCACAGCCACAAATGGCAGGCCCACTGGTCACTCAGGTAAGGAGCTGGCTGGAGGGCAGGGAGGGGAAGTACTCTGAGATGAAGGCTGCATAGTCCTCAGAGCTGCAGTGCGTCAGGGAGACAGGTATATCTTCCAGAAATGCCACCCTCATCCACTGATAAATAAAACCTCATAAATAAAACCTGGCAGTCTGGAGTTCCTGGTTGCAGATTGACAGGATTTCAACTGGATCCTTAAGTTTAGATAGAGATGAGTGCCCCATCCAGTGACTTGCAGGGTGAGGACATGGTACTAGGGAAAATACATGAGCTTTTTTCTTAGGTCTCAATGTCGGTTTTATGTATCAGGGAGCCTCTGTCTTGGAGACCAAACTCATAATCCCATTCAGGCCTTTGCATCATCTTTCTCAGCCCTTCCCATCACAGGTCAAATGTTCTTGTCAGCAAAGAGTCAGTATTGAGCTCTTCATCAATGGGAAGATCATAAATCAGTCAATTCCAAGGAAGACTGGCTGTTCATACATTCTCCCCTTAGAGAGAGGCAGAGCTGCCCTCCTTTCCTAGGAAGATACATAGACATGTCTATAGAAACCTGAAGTGTTCCAGGGAGTCTATCAGAGTGAATCTCTTTATTTTTTTTTAAATTATTTGTCCTTGAGCATTATTTTTAGATGCAGATGATCTAACCAAAAACAATATCAAACATACTTCAGTAACTTCTTAAAGCTTGCTCATGTGCAAATGAACCCCCTCAGTGCTGTCTGGCTGTGGTCTGCAAGGCCTTGACGTTTCCCTGGTGGCTGGTTCCCCTCTCTGGAGTGCACTGAGCCCAGAGGGCCTGCAGTGGATGGTGGTGTGTTCTTGTGGGATTTCAACTCCAGTGCTTTTCTGTTTTCTCATCATCTTTCTCTTTCCTCCAGTCTGTCCAGGGGCTACAGGCTTCCTCCCAGTCAGTGCAATACCCGGCAGTCTCTTTTCCTCCCCAGCATCTCCTGCCTGTGTCTCCAACCCAGCACTTCTCTATGGTACTGTACTATATGCGTATGACTTTTTCCCCTGGGAGAGCATGTTCACTGATTTTACTGCTTTTCTGTGCAGCACTGGCTGACCCGGGGTGGGCGCCCTGGGCTGACTGTGAAGGGGTATGTGTGAATGTCTCATTTCTGAACATTGCAGCCCATCTCTGCAAAACAATGGTTTCCTTTCCATCATCCGTTTGTGCGATGTTGAGTACTTCCGTGGCCTGGTACTCTTTGAAGCGTTTACCAGCTAAGCAGGAATTGAACGCTTTTCCGAGTTAGGAGTCAGGAACAGAGAGACACAGGAACTTGGTGTGAGGGTTTGGGAAAAACTCAAAGTCAATATTGGGATGGTAACTGTTATCACCCTATGCTCCCCATGTAGGTTTCCCCCTGGGACTCCAGTCCCCCAATTTCCTTTCATTTTCCCCTCAGATCACTAGGTCTTTGGGGGCAACAGCTTAAAGAATGAGCATTGTTTTTAAATTTCAGACCAGGCCAGTGAACAAATGCTACCTAATATAGGAATATAATCCCACCCAGCCTGCTGGCGATACCAGTCCTGGCTCCATCTTTGCAGCAGCAGCACTGGGTGGGTGATGAGTGTGGGCGGCTCCACCTCTCTCCAGAAGGCGGATCCTGTGGTTGCTGCTGGGAAGGCAGCTGCCCTTTCAGGACAGAACACCAAGCCTTCTTTGTCTGCAACACCATCCTGAGAAGACTAAGCTCTCAGTGAAAAAATAATAATTTGCTTCCGTCGAAAGAAGATTTGGGTCAAATTGTTTGCCATCTTTGACCCTCAGAATAATGAAAACCTGATTTTTTGTGTTAGGTTCTCTTGTTATGTTTTGTCTGGAAAATTCCTTTATTTTATTTTTTCCCAATTATACTTCCTCTGTCTCCCACAACTACAAGCATGTGCTCTGCGTCTGCGTCAACATGCCTCTCTCATTACCAAGCTGATCTTGCTTATTTCTTCATTTATTTCTGTGGCTTGCAGAGAGACGACGTGGCAACACAGTTTGGCCAGATGAACCTGAGCCGGCAGTCCTCGGGAGAGACTCCTGAGCCCCCGTCGGGTCCTGTCTACCCATCCTCCCTCATGCCACAGCCAACCCAGCAGCCAAGTTATGTCATCGCCTCTGCGGGCCAGCAGCTTCCTGCTGCGGGGTTCTCCGGCTCTGGCCCTCCCATCTCCCAGCAAGTCCTCCAGCCTCCTCCCTCGCCACAGGGATTTGTGCAACAGCCTCCACCTGCACAGGTAAGTGCGATTGTTCTCACTCCTGTGACCCACAGCTGATTTCTGGTGCATTTTGACTGTAATCTTTCCATGTAGAATATCCTCAGATTCAACTTATCCTGCCCTTCTGGTCCGTATTAATATTCCTCCCACAAGACCTTATCTGTTCTTCTGTTCGTCAGTTGTGCAAAGTCTTGGGGCTCGGAAAGTTAAGTTGAATGAAACTGACCCGATTTCTGCTGGTACAACAGGGGGATAGCCCATTTTCCAGGCTGCTGGCGCGGAAGCTATGAGAAAGCATTCCCTCCCATGTGATATCCTGCTCACAGGGTTGCCCAGAGAGGAAAAGCCTTGGGGAAAGGAAAGGCCTGCTCCTAGGGGATTTTCAACTCTCTCTTGCTCATGCTCAGAAAATGTGTTCTTTCCATTCTTACCAATTCACAAGCGTTTTCTGGAGCTAATCTGATGCTCCAGGCAGGAGTTTCTCTATGAATATAAAGGAGGAAGGTAAGCTGATATCCACTGTCCTTTTCTCTCCCTAAGGGGAAGCAGAGCTCTCACAGGTAGCCATTAATCACATTTAATTGACTTGAGCATGTAAGACACCACAGATCACTGATTTTTACTGTCTTCTCAAAGACTGATTATGTGTTACTGTTCACCAGCAAACATCTCTGGTGCTCCCCTGGGTATTTCTTGCAGAATATTGAAAGTGATTACTGTCAAGATATAAAATGCACAGAGGCATATTCTCGTCCATTTTCAAGGCACACATATCCCAAGCAAATTCCATCCTAATTATGAAGTATTGCATCATTGGATGAGCTGTTTAAAGTGCAGTGTCACCTTTTCATCATTTGTTTCATTGCCTTAACATCTTGAATAAATTATTTTCTTTTCAAGCCACACAAAATCCTCTACCATGAAATGATTGTCACTCAGTTGTTCATTTTATTTTGAATGATTAATTAATAGTTCATCTTCAGTTGCCTTCTCTTCACTAGTGGGATTTAAGGAGATGTGTAAAATAATTTTAAGTTACAGAAGAAAGGGCTTCATTAATGTATTAATTATTTCACTAATAAATTAAATACTTCAAGCTTAATTATTGGGAAAAAAATAATTTAGCTCTTTTCACCTAAACAGCATCTGTGTCCTTAACTCATTTCTGCTGTCAAAGAGAAGAGTTGGCAGAATGTTTAACTGAAAGCTTTAAAAAAAAAAAAAAAGTCCTTCCCCAATAAGGAATTTCAATATTATTACTAGTTACATACAGAAGCAAAGACAATTCAAAAACCCTGCTGTGTCAGCAACAGAAATGCTTTTATTTTTTCTTCTGTAGATTTAAAAGGTAGAAAGGGAGGGAGACAAATCATGGTTCATGATCAGTCTGGACACTTATAAACTTCTTTTTAAAGAACCACGATAAAAGTGCATTAGTAAACATTTTAAAATCTGGTTATCAAACTATAGAAAAATGAAGACTGAGTTGAGATTCAGCCCATGGACAGATATGGAAATATGTTACATTTCTGCAGAGAATGAATCTATTTAATAAACTTGAAGGTTAATTTCATCTGACTCATGACGTGTGGTTTCGAAATGCCCACTGGAAGGGCGAAGTGGAAAACACATGGATGAGGCAAAGAGGGATTTGAAGAAGGGAAGTGGGAGATTTGTTTATTTTTAATAGTTTCTCCTTTCTTTTATGTACTTCATTTTCCTCCTAATTCAACTCATTTTTTGATTATATTTTAACATGGTTGGTTGAAAGTATATATTTTCTCCCTTTTGAGATACCATTACTGCTTTCTTCCTTCCCCCTCTCCTTTCACACCATTCATGCTGATCCTTTTAGCCCAGCTCCCTCCTCTTCCTCTCTGAGGGAGGGAGAGGGTGGATCAGGTGCTCTTTTGTTTCCTATGGTTGGGGCCATAATTCCTAACAGCTGGCCAATGCTTGCAGCAGTGTTGGATAGAAGGTGCCAAACCTCTAGCACACCCTGTCAAGGTATCAAAGAAGGCGGGTCTAGGAGAAGAAGACAAAAACAAAACAAGTAAATAAACAAAAACCTGAGTACTAAAAATGAGATGATTTAAATTTTTTTTTACCTGTTGTGCTTTTATCTAAACCATTAGTGCTCATCAGGCAATTTTCAAGTGTTTGAACTCGATCCTTCATCCCTAGAGGTATTTTCATGTTTTACACTGAATGTAAAAAGAGAGATCAAGGAATGGATAGCACATTCATGAGCTCATATTTAATCAAGACACAGTCTTTTCTAAAGGAACAAAATGCTATTTTTCCTAAAAGATATGTAAATATAATACTGATAAATAAATTAGATGATAGTTGTTCTTATTCTTAATACTGGGAGGCATCTGATGCATAATGGCATTAATAGTAATCTTTAATAGAACCACAGTTTGCCAGAGCACAACTAAATCCTATTATTATTCCAGAATTATTTAGGTTTTTATTGTTATGAACTGCCTTATATAAAAAGGGAGAAATAGTAAGATTAAATCACTATAAACAATGCATACAATAAATTATTTAGTTGCTAGATGCTGACCCATGGTTGCTTTAGACTTATTCAGCTTCTTACCCTTGAATATTCATATTAGTAGGTTGTCACGATTATAATTCATAATGATTCCATGGAATTGCAGAATCATAGGTCCTCACAGATTATCTTTTGTTTCTACTTATCCTAAAGCAGGAAAATGTGTTACATATGTTTCAATAATAAGATTGAATAGAAAAGTCTTTCCTATTGGACATGAGCAAATCAGAAAATAAAATAGCCATAAAAATCACAGTTCTAAAATAATTGGCCGGTAATTTTACTCTATGTCCATAGTACTTGTTGGCTGTATACTGGGGTGCCTCTGTAATCACTTTACAAAAGATGATAGGAGAAAAATCAAGGCCTGGAGATGCAAAATAATTAACTAAGAGTAGTAAGAAAATAGCCTTAATAAAAATGACCTGAGACAGGCAAAGAAGACTTTCTAGGTCAGGACACATTTGATTTGAAGCTTGTTGGAAGTAATTAGAATATTTTTGTTCATTCTCAGTAATTAGAATATTAAGAAGGTGGCATAAACAATATTTTAACATATTTTCCCTTTTAGATGGAACATAATTTTTTTGGATACTGGCTAAGTACCAGTCACTGTGCAGTGTGGTTTGGTAGACTTTACCAGTAATTTCATAACTGCACTATCTGCTTCTTTTAGGCTAGAGATGAGCAGTTTTCATGTTTCACCTGTGTTTCCATTTGAAAAACAATACAAGTTACATACAATATTTAAAACTACCATAGATTTTTTTGTGGTTGATGATAACTGTTTTATTCTCTCTTGTTTCATTTAAAAACCCCAAAATGGTTATTTTAAAACAGCCATAGTATGGCTCATGACTAGGTCAGCAATTGAGCAGAACTTAACACAGATGGTTCATCTCTGCTCCATATGGCTAGGGTAGCTTGACGGGGGCTATACTCACACACCTGGAACTTGAGGGTATCCAGTCTATTGGGGTGCCTTTGTTCTCCACACGGTCTCTTTCTCCAGCAGAATAGCCTGGACTTTACCTAGTGGCTGGATTCCCTTTCTGCAGGAGTGGAAGCTGCAAGTCTTCTTAAGGATCAGGCTGGCAAGCCTCAGACATCAGTTCTGCCTCATTGCATTGGTCAAAGCAAGTCACACAACCAGCTCAGATTCACGGCTTGGGGAGTGTATTTCACCTCTTCACAGTAGCAGCACGCACATACACACAGACTTGGGAGAAGTTTGGGGTAGCCATCTTTATAATCTGTCACAATTATAAGATGACAGTATCTTTTATCTTAAAAAATTACTTTATGAAATGTTTTCATTACCTGCTTTTTTTTTTTTACCCTTTTCTCCATAGATGCCTGTGTATTATTACCCATCTGGTCAGTACCCTACCTCAACCACGCAACAGTACCGGCCCATGGCCTCAGTTCAGTACAATGCCCAGAGGAGTCAGCAGATGCCGCAGGCAGCCCAGCAAGCAGGTACTTGGAATATGTTTCCCATCCTTTCCTTCAATCCATTTACTTTTTCTGGTGAATCTCATAGCTGTAATCTTTGGATGAATATCCAAGCTTGGCAATTTAAATCAGCACGTTTCCCCTACGCAGAGAAGATAACAAAGTGTTTGATTGACTCTATGTGGAAAAGTAATCAGTACAAGAAGGTGAAGCAAATGCCCATCTAGCATCCCAGGCATGCATGCTAAACAGTGTTTATAAATTATTTTTTGATGCTCTTAGTTTATTTTAAAGTAGAGAGACAACCACAACCACATCCCTGTCTTCCTAGTTTACTTTCTTTTTTTTTTTTCCCTCTTCAATTTAAAGCAAGAACTTCCTCTGTTCCTAAGGCTAGGGAAGCAAATTAGGTTGTTTCAATAACATGCTAAAAAAGCACTGTCTTTAGAAGAAGCCTACTGACAATGCGGCGTGTGTCTCGGTGGAACTCTGACTCCATGGTTCACTTTCACGATGGCCACATGCCTCCTGCCCAGAGCCCGGCAGCCACTGTGCAGTGGGAAGGGGGGCCGATACACTGTACGAGAGTGAGTAGCAGGTCTCACAGTGAACCGGTCTCTTTCCCTACTGTGTCACACTCCTAATGGAATGCCGTTACCCAGAGAGCAGCAGAATCCAGCAGGGCTGAGTGACTTGTGCTAGGGAGAGGTTTGTGTCATTCCTGCTGACCAAACTGCGGGAAAAACTGCTAATTGTCATGCTGAAGACCGCCTGACTAGGAGACTCTGCCTTCTGTAAGTAGGTCATGTTTAAGAGCATGTGCTCCCCGCTGCTGCTCATAAATGCCTGCTTGGTGATCTGATTTCTGCACTGAATGTATATATATGCATATGCAATATGTACAGATATATATATATAATATGTAATATATACACGACATGTACTATTTTTATAAGCTATGAAAAAAGTGCAATCCTTGCTAAGGATTAGTACCAATCACGGACACCCTAGGAATACTAATGCTGACAGTGCTAGCATTCTGTCAGATTGGAGAAGGCATTAAATTCTCTGTATTGTGGATGGCTATACGTTCTTTAGTTTATCTTGCAGCCTATTTAAAGTCTGTGGGAGAAGAAATAGAGAGACCTATAGAAGACAATGAGATTTTGTCTTCTTTCAACACTATGTTAGTTCTGGAAAGAATGTATTTGACTTCTGAATTGACTTTATGCTTTTTCAATAGTTAAGAACACGAAAGAGTTTCTCACATTATTCGTTATTTTAAGAAAACCATTTGGCCATATTTTCTCTGAATTGTGGAAAATGTTATCATGCCTATCATTTTGGTGGCAACTGTGCTATCAATTTAGATACATACTATAGTAATGTGTTGCCTGCATCCTGAACCGTCTTATTTTTTTCCACTGATGTTAATTAAGGAGTTAGTTTATTTCCTTTAGATCTTGGTTCAGACACCATGGAGAAGGCTTCTTTTTGGTTACCAGTGTTTTTAGAAGAAGAAAGATATGAATTTCTAACTATAATGAGTTTTATTTAGTTTAATGCCATTGTGTGAAAGTTTTTTAAAAAGATTATTTCAGTCTTGTGGCAGAGTGTCCTCATATACTAGAATGTGGTTACAAATATGCTAGAATCTGCTAAACCTGTAAACTGGATCTATGTGAGGGGCTGAGAAAGTTGGATGAATACGTTAACTGGGCAACAGAATTAGATTTACAGAAAATCTAGTGTTCCCCACTCACTCCTACATTTTTATTTCTCCTCTCCACTCACTTCACTGATGAATGTCTACACAGGAGAAAGTATGTGTGGAATTTTTTACTGTTTCACAAAACATTATGGGAGAATTCAGGGATGCAGAAACACCCTCCCTCATCTTAGAGAGACCTGACTGGCCCCAACTGCATTCCATAGCAACCTGGTGGCTTACCTCTGTCCCGTGCTCTCTCATCACCCAGGAAAAGCCATCTCTAAGGCGAGACAATGAAACTATAATGAGAAGAATGCATTCTAAAGCAGCTCATCCTCAAAGTGGAAGCAAAGGCAGTCCTTCAGGTGTCAAGGAAGTGAGTGGCTGTTAATGTAGTCTATGGGAGGTGCGGAAGTGAGAAACATGAAATGGTAGATGAAAAATATGTCCCCAGAAGTAACAGCATTGTTATACACATGCAGACTGACACCTTTGAGCTCTTAGTTTTTGTGACCACCACATCTGATATCTGACCTAAAATCCCAACATAGTTTCCAGTGAAGTGCTCAGTTTACCAGGTATTTTGGAAAGCAGATGACTTCACAAAGAATCACTTATGCTATTAGCAGAATAATCCAGGTAACCCAGGTCACACAATGGCTCTTTGTGAGTACATAGAGGCTCTGATTCCTACAGCTGGGAGTCCTTTTGTTGAGCCTAGTGAGACCAACAGAGATTATCCAAAGGGATATGGCAGAGTTATTTATGACAGCTACTCCATGCTGATGGACTGTCTTGTAGAGGAAAGAGCCTCTTTAGATAACTGTAAAAGCCATATTTTCTGGAGTAACTTGAAGGTATACCTTGTGCGTGTCACCCTCCCACAGTGATGCTCTGACTTACTCTTCTTCCTGTCTCCTGCAGTCATGTGTCCTGGGATCTGACTCTCTCCCATCCTCATCTGGTGCTGACACCAGGTTGTGTTGTAGCATCCTCAGCTATCACACTGTTAAGCATTAGAGCAGGACAAAATTATGTCAGTTAAAGCTAACTGAGTTTTTAATCCCAATTTTCTTCTTGGCACTGTTCTTAATCTTTATTTAATTGCAATCAAAACATCTCTTCCTTCTACCTTCTTGCCAGAATTGAAATCTCTGTCAGTTACTACATCTTCCCTAGGCCTTCAAACTCTACACAATGAATTTTTATAAAGTAACTGGATACTCTACAGTTGATTAAATAGGACATATGAGTTACACTGAGGCCCTGGAAGGGGACACGAGTTCTTCTTCCTGGTGATTTTGTATTCTTTATCCTATCAATGAGTGGTAAATGTCCTAAGCATGTGGAAAAGGAAGCCTATGCTGGTGGTAATTATAAAGGCCACGAATGTCGAGAAATTTTGGAGAAATCAAATGGTAGATCTGCATGGTGATATTTGGATTTGGCAGGTACGTATGTGAGAAAAATAAAAATCTTTAATATAAAAATGGCTCTAATGGAAAAAAATTTATTGCCAATCTAACATTATCAGGCACCTCTAATAGTGGGGAGACAATTTTCTTTAGGAGGCAATTGTTGATAACCGAAGTCTGCATAGAAAAGCAGTTATTAGGTCATAGCTTTGAAAAGGCTATAGATTTTAAATCATTCTGGCTTTGAAAGACTTGGACGTGAAAGTGGCTTAACTGAGAACAGATTTTCTCAGCGGTCAAACATTGAAATGAAGTGCTGATGAACAAACCTTTCATTCCCTCATGTTTTAGGTCTATTTTAGTAGTCAGTTATCATATTGCTTTTAGTTAGCACCTTTTTTGCTATAGTTTTACCCTCCTTGAAAAATATCGTTAAAGCCAACAAAAATATTAGCAATAATTATATCTACCATAAGTTGAGGACCTCTTGTGGGCTAGTTGCTATGCTAAGTATTTACAACCTTGATTTAATCTCCAACGCAAATTTACAAAAGACATTCTAGCATCCCTGTTTTACGGATGGAAGAAACTATTGCCCAGGGAGGTGAAATAAATTATCCTAGGTCCCAAGGTTGACTGAGTTGGAAAAAGCACCCAGGCTTGACTGATTTTAAGCCTGAGTGTTAACTGCTTTATGCAAACAGTGTAAACATAGTTTCTAGCGTTGCGGTTATATGGACAATCATATAGAAACTGACATACCCAAACTAAACCAGCGTGCCCATGTTCCAGAGGCAAGTAATATTTAATTAATTATTTAGGTACACAGGTTGGCTTAAAAGCAGAAAAAAATTGAGAACCCTGGATTTTTGCCTTGCTACTCTTCATGGGGTTCCATATTACTTTGCAGAACTGGTCAATAACAACAAATAGCAGAGAGCA